TGATCTTGTGACACTCTGCAATAAACCTCTGCAGCTGATCCTGCTGAGAAGTTTTCGAAGAGAAGTGTTTGTAGTTTGAGAAAAATTTTTATAAAGCAGAACAAAATCCAGATACAATACTATAATAGGCCACTTCCGAGTTCTCACAGAGATCTGGTGCCAAAATTACAGCGTGAGAATGAGGCTAAGTGCAAAGTTGTTTTCATTGGTATAAAGAATAAAGTGCCCTGGTGATGAAAATGAGAGAAAATTTCCCGAAAGTCAGGGAAAGAGAGTGAAAAATTATTTGTGGGAGAGAGGCATTCAGCTAAGTGATGGACACAAAGGAAAGAAAACGGCAAAACTGTTTGATTTACGCAAGAAAGCTGCAACAATGAAGCAGATCCAAATAGCAGCTCTGCTGAAGACTGCATGAAGTGATAAGGAGAAATTACTAACAAGTAAGGGCAAATTTCTAGTACCTAAAATTTTGGATGCTTGGATGCACAACTTCTGTAACTTTCCAGAGTTTGTGTTTGGCATTTGCATGCCGCCTGACCAAGTCTAGCCTTGGTTTCTTCTTTGTCATCATTTACTCATTGTTTTTTTCCTGATTCAATCGTTGCAAGGGCCTACTGTAATTTGCAAAACAATCTGAACAAAATGAATTCGAAATCTTTTATTGCAAAATGAACTCAAAATATGTAATAAGCAAAATGGAAGGCTGTATTTGCGAAATGAAAATCTGTCATTTACCAAAGGAGGAGTCATGTGGCAAACTCCTCTGCCCGGGAGGATGAATTGTTCAGTTCATTACTAGCGTAGATTGCAAATAAAACTTAGCATACAATATAAACTATAATTTACATTTGAACCCCAAGCTAAAATTCCTTCCGATTTCATTCCATATTTGAAGATTTTTGTTGTAAAAAAAGGGAATGGTCAGAGATAACTGCCATGGTTTCTTGACGAGCCCAGGGAATGTGTGACCCTTCCAGTTCAAGTAAAGTGTCATGTCACACATTTGAATAATTCATCATAAATGTTCCTGTGAATATTTCGCAAAGTAAACTACAACGATTTTTCTTTCGCACTTTCTCTAATGGTTATTATTTCAAAGTTATGTATGTTATCTGCAATAGCAGTGAACTGACCGATTCATCCTTCCAGTTAGAGGTCATAAGCTTTCCACATTTCTTGTTGCAAACAACAGATCTACAGATTTCCATCAGCAAATTGCAGAATTACAGGTTTTTGAGTTCATTTCATAATTTACAGCTTTCAATTTCTTTGTGTTCATTTCACAAACTACAGTGAGCCCTCACTACGATTCAGCAAGAAGTAAACAACAGTTATATGATGACATCAAAACAATTAAGGCAAGGCTGAGCTCTGGAATGTTAGAAAAGTGGTACCTCTGCACATTAAAAATTTTTGGTACCTGAAATTTGCTCTCA